GAAAGCTTCTAAGACCATCTCCAAATGAGATGTCAAAAATGTCACATAGACATATAACAATAACAAATAACGTAGAATTTACTCCAACTAAGATGTCAAAATTGACATGAAAAAAAGGCTAAGATGATATGGACAAAGAAATGTTAAATTTGAAGCTACCTATGATTTTTGTTATTTCCAAAGGCACTCCACTTATCTTACATTAAATGTTAGCATATTTAATTATTATTTTTATTATTTTTAAAGTAACAACAACTTAATTTTTAAGGAAAAATAATGAAAAGAACTTGAAAATTTTGAGTTTTAACGATAAGAACAAAATAAAGGGTAAAGTGAATAGTACTAGGTTTGACTTTTTAATGTAAAAATATAGTTTCCGCGGACTTTTCGTTAAAACTTCTTAATTTTTATTATTTTTGTTTAAAAAAATATAAATAAAGTAATAAATTTTGACATATCAGATGAAATTTTTTTTAATAAAATATCGAATTACCAATTCAACCATCTTTTGAATTTGACGTAAAAAAGTTCTAAATGAACGCATGTTGTAGTAAAGACTCCGAGGGTGCGTTTGACAAGTTGGATGGGGGATTCAGATTGGAGCACGAGAAAGCTGAGGTCAGACTTGGCTACTTACTTGGGAAGCATGAGAGAGATACACGCGTAAGTGTCTGATTGGGTTCGGGTCCATTGGAAAGCTACGCGCAAGCACGAGCCTTTGAAGCCTTTGAATTGTCCGGCGCGGCGCCACGCGAAGGCGCGTCCCCGCTTTAATCATGATCTTGATATCGTGATTACAGTCAACAGTCTACACTCTACAGGGCACAGAAGTCAGGTGTACATTTGTAACTGTAGGCGTGCAGCTACAATATCCTTACTGGGGCGCGGTCCATGAAGTTGGTAAAGGGCCGGACCAACAAAATAAAAACCACTAGCCCAATTGGGCATAGAAATCACATTAGGCCCGACCCGAATACAAAATTCGTCCTTCGACCCGGATTTATTTATTTATTTATTTTTATCAAACTGAATTTTACTTGAAATTGGTGGATGCACAATGAGCTCTTAGAATATTGATTACAAATAAAAGACATTTTTTTTATTTACATTTTTAGAATATGTAATTATGAATTTTACTTCAACGAGGGAGATGTGAATTTAAATTTTTATTTCACTTTTTCTTTAAATGACGGAGTCCACTATCTTAAGGTATAAAAAAAAAAAATTACATTTTAATCTATATTTTTCAGCCAAGATAAAAAAATTTATATTATGTACATCGAAGAGCTTTCCAGTCAAGAAAAAAAATATAAAATACCCATTTCAAAGCATTAGAAATCTCACCGGTCATTGGAGATCCTCGTTTAATTGTAATTCTCTTCACACTCTTAGAATAAAAAAGAAATATTGGGAGAAAATGATTAAGAGTTCGTTTGAAAATATTTTTAAAATGACTGAAAGCGTTTTTATAAAAATATTTTTTGAACTAATTTTTAATAAAAATAAAATTGAATCTTAGAAAATAACTTGAAATGCTTCTTATAAGAGCACATAACTGATGTTTTTTGCGAAAAACATTTTAAGTGTTTTGGAATTCAAAAATATTTTATCTACTTTCAATCATTTTAATGCACTTTCAAACAAACTCCAAATTCAAAATTTCGAATGCTCGTCTAAGAAAATAAATGTAAATTTCTTATGAGGTAGTAAATCTATATAGCAATCTCATTAAAAGCAAGCGCAATTTATTGCCACTAAAATTCGAATCCAAAAATTGCAAAAGTAAATAAAGTCAAACTCAAAAAAATCCAATTACAATTGGCAGTTACAAAAATATTAAATGCGTTTTCAAAAAAGAGAAATGACGTTATCACCTTTTTCTGGGTATATAAGAAAGAACAATGTGGCACTCTTGAATGCTACATTGACAAATACAAAGATGAAGGGGCAGGCTTTCTTCCCTCTGCTTATAGTCCTCCTCTTGGTTTTCTCTAACGGTAAATGAAATTCTCCTATCTTCGTTTCTTACACGATTATACTCCAAACTACTTTAATCTACTAAAAATGTATTCCAAATTCAAATCCAAGGACAACAGACGCACTGCATTTTTGAAATCCCATCATTTGTTTGAGAGAAATTACATTAATCAATTAGGTGTTTAACCTCGTTTTAACATTTTCTTGTTTGCGGATTAGGTACATTGCAAGGAGAGGCAGAACGATCATGCTCCAAGTCCATCCCTCTTGAGGGCTGCTCAAAAGAGGAATGTGTCTTAGAATGCGTTAGAGTAATTGGCGTAAGTATCAACGGTTGCTGCATCAATGAACATACATGTTGTTGCATAGAATAGTGTATATTTCTCCATCATCGACCGAGGGAGTAATCGATAAAGTAGAAACTAAGAGTTGATCGAGTAAATGATTATGTCTAAAATGTTATTTTGACTTACCAATGAATAAAATTCGGCTCAAAAGCTTGCTTATGTGTTTTTTATTTTATTTTTTAGAATACAATGGTATATTTATGCAATTGGGTGGGCGAATAAATTGTTCAAACTGCCATCAACGAGATTCAAATCTAAGGCCTCTCAGTTACAGGTTGTAAGCGAAGAAAAATATCACTCGACTTTAGTACTGAGTTACTCTCATATGATGAATCTGAGACTCAGCCGAGGAGATGTAAATTTTTATGTTTTTGATCCATAAATGTAAATTTTTTTATGAGATTTATTAGTTTTGGTGAGATTTAAAATTAAAACATAACTAACTAGTTGATGTTAGAGGTTTTTGTTCTTGTCTTCCCATTTTATTTTTTTAATTAGTGGCGTATTGTACTAATTAAGAAGGATCATTTATCTTTCTTTGCCTTTCTTCCCCACGCATTTTTTTCAAACATAGGGAAGGCATGTGTTTGGAGCACAAGAAGTTCTAATGATGCTGAGTTTCATCTTGACGTCTTGAGTTCAAATATCATTGAGCGACAGTGACGCAAAATTAGGAACCGAAAACAAAACTAGTTACCCTATCTCCTTGCTCCCTCTCTCTCTCTCTCTCTCTCTCTCTCTCTCTCTCTCTCCCCCCTTAAATTTTAACAACCAAAGTAAAAAATTTCACTGACTCTGTGAGTAGGCATATACTAGTGGATTACAAAGAAAAACCTTATTTTATTTTATTTTACATTTTTAGCATATATAATTATGAATTCTACTCCAACGAGGGAGATATAAATTTAAAATTCTATTTCACTTTTCCTTTAAATGACGGAGTCTACTCTCTGAAGGTGGAAAAAAGAAATTTTATATTATGTCCATTGAAGAGCTTTCCAGTCGAGAAAAAATAAAAAATAAAATACCCATTTCAAAGCATTTAACATCTCACAGTGGCCATTGGAGATGCTCGTGTAATTGCAATTCTCTTCACACTTTCAAAATAAAAAAGCGATATTGAGTGAAAATGATTAAGAGCTTGTTTGAAAATGTTTTTAAAATAACTGAAAGCGTTTTTATAAAAATATTTTTGGAACCAATTTGTAGTAAAAATATAAGTGAATAATGCTTCTTACACTTTAAGTGCTTTTGGAACCCTAAAAACATTTTCTCTACTTTTAATCATTTTAAAACATTTCTAAACGAGCTCCAAATTCAAAATTTCGAATGCTCGTCTAAGAAAACAACTGTACATTTCTTATTAGGTAGTAAATCTATATGGCAATCTCATTAAATGCAAGCACAATTTAATGCCACTAATTCGAAATCCAAAAATTTCAAAAATATTAATGAGTTTCCAAAAAAGACTGACAGTGTGAAATGACGTTAATCACCTTTTTTTGGGTATAAAACGAAGAACAATGTAGCACTCTTGAATGCACGTTGACAAAAGACAAAGATGAAGGGGCAAGCTTTCTTTCATTTGCTCATAGTCCTCCTCTTGGTTTCCTTTACTGGTAAATGAAATTCTCTTATCTTCGTTTCATTGATGATTATACTCTAAACTACTTTGAAAAATGTATTTCAAATTCAAATTCAAGGACGACAGAGACACTACATTTTTGAAATTCCGTTATCCGTTTGAGAGAAATTACGTTATTTAATTCATGTTTAACCTCGTTTTAACATGTTCTTGTTTGCATGTTAGGTACATTGAAGGAGAGGTTTTAACATGTTCTTGTTTGCAATTGGGTGGGCGAATAAATTGGTTTGAACCATCTTCAACGAGATTTGAATCTAAAACTTCTCATTTATAGATTATAAGCGAAGAAAAATATCACTCGACTGGTAGTATTGAGTTACTCTCATCTGATATTGAGAGGATGCATAAATAAATAGGAAAACTTTTTTAGGCTTTGCCCCAACAGGATGCAGAAGGAGCTTTTAGCCCAATCTAAATGTAATAAAAAAGATACAGAACAACGAGGGAGGTTGACATCTAGACTTCACTGCATAACAGAGTAACGGAGAAACTCTTAAAATAATTCAACTAAAATCGACATATTTCATTGATATTTCCGATATTTCGGTTAAATATCGGAGAAACTCTTATAGTTTGTGACATTCTCTAAAGTTGCGTTTTAAAATTTTCATCATTTCCATCGAAAGCAGCCGATATTGAAATTTATATCGAAATCTCCATCAACACCGATAATTTAAACACTAGCTACCACAAAGAAAAGGGAGCTTTATATAGCATTTGTTCTCAAAGACACAGATGAGGTGTTTCTTCCCTCTGCTGACACTGCTCCTGCTGTTCTTCTCTAATGGTATATTAACATCTAATCTCTTCTTAATATCGGGTTCTTTCTCTATTTTTTGCATTTTCTAAATTGTTTCGTGATTCTGTGCACTTCGAGGAGAGGCACGAAACCTGCTCGAATGCTCCTATCCTGTTAAAAATGCTCGAAATATAAATGTGCAAAGATTTAGAATAGCGCACTCGAGCTCCTCTGCCCGATTCCCGTTCTTCCATGATCGCTTATGTCCGAAGAAATGGTTGCACCCAAACAATTCAAAAAAATAATCTTATTTCAGGATGCATAGCAAATGCAACAATGTTTTTGCACTAGACTAAGGGGAGGGGAGAGTTTGAACCCGGACGCGGTGGCATTTAAGATAAAATCTTATTCACCACGACAATCCACCCACTGGCTAACAAATGCAACAATTAAACTTCATCAACAAACGCTTTGATCACTTCTTACCAGAAACTTCATCCGGGGTTTTGGTAGTCATCTGATCAACTGCATGAACTGTGTTCTGAAGCTCCTCCCATATGGCTTTGTACACCATCCTCTGCCTATTTACAGCCGACTGTCCCTCGAACGACGAGGAGACGACATCAATGACCACATGTCGGCCATCCCCACTCAGATCTTCTACGCTAACGGATTCAGCATTTAGCTCCTCCTTGATCTTTTTCTTCATGGACTCTATGAGGGGGGAGTCGATGGAGCCAGCATTGCCCACGCTCGAGGATCGAGGACTGAATCTCCTCACACCACTATATTCCAGTCTCATATTCCTCCTGTTTTCATTGCTGATTGCTCTATGGTGCAGCAATACTAACTGTGTTTTCCTTGGTTGAGAAAATAAGGATGGCAGAGCTCGACTAAGGGCGCAGGAGGCTGATAACACTGTATGGACGCACCATCATTGACTTCACCGCCATTCTTCCCTTTCTACACTTCTACTTGAAACCCTAAATCTCTAAGCTACGTATCGTTGCACTCCGTTCTTATGCAAGAATTGGGCACCTGTACGAATATGATGGTGCAAATTAAAAATGGAAAAGAATAAATCATATAACATAAAGTTTTGCTAAGCCAATTTTATATGAACATTACTCCCTGCAAGTTCGAATAACAGTCAATATTAAACCATACTGGGATTGCTGATTGCTTCTGAAAGCGCTTCTAACTACGTTTGGCAGAAAAACATAAAAATGCTTTTACCCATAATCTCTTTTTGAAGAAGCACCCAGAATTTTAATCAGAAATTCAGCATGTTTATAATACAAGCTCTTCTAGCATAAGCACTTATGAGCAGGCTTCCTACATAAGCATTCCTAAACTGTTTCAAACTGCTTTTAGAATGCTTAAAAGCGCTTTAGAAAACCAACTAAAAGGGCTTCTTTTAACATTTGGCATAAGTGCTTTCAAGAGAAGCACTTCCAAACTGCCCTTAAACTACACAATCTCCAATAAGTTGCAAAAGGGTCCAAATTTTGGCTCGCTTTGAAGTGCTTTTAAAATAACTAAAAGTGTTTTGCTGAAATAATTTCTAGGTTCCAAAAGCACTTTCATCAACAGTGTTTGGAGTCATTTTAAATCTGCTTCCAAACGAACCCTCTATCATTAGCTATAAGCCTGTACCAAATGAAAGTATCATTTACCATGTGTTGCTGAATCCTTCAACTAAATTCACACTAATCTTCAAAACTCACACTATCAAATCCAGTGATTAACCTAATTAACCATATTCAATTAAATCTTGAGTAAACCCAGAAATAGCAATCCGCTATTGAAGCCGTAAAACAGTAAAATCAGAAGGAAATTCCACAGCAGAGGTTAAAAAATGTAAACTTTACAGCAATTCGTAGGTTTTATTTACAGAGTCAGAGAAATTTACTTACCTCGCGGTTTGAATACGCTCGATGCGAGAGAGAGGTTGGGAGGTACAGAGCGGCAGAGCAAAGAAGAGGAAAGAAAGGGGAAATCGGTACGTTAGGGATTTTCAAGGGTAATTATGTAAAATTATAAAAAGAATAATGGAATATTTACTAGCAATTTGATCTGAGCTGTTTAATTTTCTTTAGGTACAAATCCGATGGTACATTCAATAACCCCGTCATGTAAACATATGCTTTCACATAGTACTATGGTCTGGTGGTATTTCTTCACTTGTATGTGAAGGTTCTTAGATTCAATTCTCGCCAAAGATGAATTTGAACCACGTTATTGCTAGTCCATTATGAGGTTAAACTCTCTCCCTCTCTCCCATATTATAAATAATATCGTTAGTTCAAAAAATAAAAAATAAAACAAAAACATATTCGTCCACATATTTTCTTCTTCTCGCACCTCGGAGCAACTTCACCCTCCCAATTGCTTGGGTGATTGAATACCCAAAAAACCCACAAAATCCTTTTCACCCTAAGCCCAACCAGTCGGGCTACAGAGGAGAGAAGAAGAGCCCGACTACTCAATCGGGCAACTATAGTCCAACCCATCGTCTGAAACCATTTGACGTCAGCTGACCTCAATTACGTAATAATTTTTTTTTCCACCAATGCGTGTGCTTCATGTGAGCGTGAGTGGTCCCACATAATGCAGGAGGGGAAAACGATTCTCGTCGGATTCTTTTCTTAGGGATCATAGAGATCTCGTGATCTTATCCGTTCATCGTATATCGTGTCGTCAGAAATCATTCAAAATTTAAAAATTAAAAATAAATATGAATAGTACCTAACGAAAACTGACTGCATATGGCACAACATGCATTATTAGATTACAAAAAAAAAATGGCATCCAACGATTCATATTAATTCTGTTAAAAAAAAGTTTAAAAATCATAAAAAAATACAAAAAAACAAAAAAAAAAAAAAAGAAAAAGTAAGAGAATATGAACCGTGATGTGACAGAGACGAGATTGTGATTTTGGAGAATAATACGTGACGTGATGAGATTGGTTAAAAATCCTATTTGAATTTATTTATTGAAAATAATGAATTTGAAGTCTTACATATTAATAACATCGTCTATTCATAATACTTAAATGATTGTAAGTGATGGATTAACATGATGATTTGTGTCTTCCTTTTCAACCTCTACCTCCCGAATTCAATTTTTTTTCCACTCCTTTTAGTCTAAAATAACTATCGCTTGTGTCTAAAAATAATAATACATAAATGACTAATTTCACATAATGCTTCTATTAAAATAGGATAATGTTAAAGAGATTAAATTTTTAAACGAAATTATGTGTCACTAATTAGAAACAAACACGTTAATAGACACTTAATTAAAACTACAACTACATCATTTAATTTGTAAATTTGGTATTCTTAACATTACCTATTACAGTAATCTAAACATCATTTGACCGTTTTAAATGAATATTGGTGACTGAGATTGGAAGAGAAGAAAAATTGACAGAAATTGTTTTTTTAAACGTTTTACACATGTGCACCGCGTTTGCACAAAATCCTCTGATTTGAAATATATGCCGACACACATAACAAATCTTTTCGAATTATATGTGCATTATTGGTGACATTTTTTCCATGTGTGGCAAATCATTTGTTACTTGCTATCTACCCGTTAGTCGAGGTGTTCATTTGTTATTTGCTATTTGCTATCTACCCGTGGTGGTTAGGGTGTGCCCATACCACCAGAGTCATACTCAACATTCTCATACAACTGTAGATCACGCGATAATTGAACGCGAGTATTACACGGGTGTACTCTTGATGGATCAGAGATACTAAATAATTCAAATTCAGAAATACAGACTTAGAGTTTATCACAAATACTGGACAACTCCATAGTGATTGACACAATAGGTTTTAGTGATTTGCTTACTAGAAATAGTGGGCCTCTTCCTCCTTATAAATAAGAGAACTTTAACGAAAAATTTCCGGTACTGTTTATTTTAACGAAAAATCACATTTTTACACTAAAAAATCAATACTGATACTATTCATTTTATCATTTATTTTGTCATTATCGTTAAAATTCAAAGTTTTCAAATCCCTTCTATTAGTTTTTGTTATAAATAATACACTTCTCCTCTCACAATCAGTTGAATTAACTCTTACGGTCAATTTTTCACGCGCAAGTTGGCACATCATTAATTTGAAGCGATTGATACAAATTACTCCACAAACATCAACGGTCAAAAATACATCTGGTAGGAGTAGCCCTAGCGTTTCCTAACCTACAAGACGGTCGATCTTCTTCTTCCTACATACACAGCGTATGGCTACTCCATTGAACACCAACTTTTTGAGCTCAAACTCGAGCATCGCGTGGGTCACTCACCCACCATTATTGTGGGCCCCACACCTACCCACGCTATCACGACACTGAAAAAGCTGAAGCAAAGGAAACTCAGAAGCCAATAAAGACGGAAGAGGATCCTCTATAGGATAAGAATTCTTCTGCTCAGCCTATCTGGACTGTTTAAATTTAATCAAACGGTTCCAAATAGAAAACTTTTTAAAAATTATAATAATTACAATCGTTAGATTAAATTTGAACGATTCAGATGAGCTGATCAGAGTATCCTCTTCCTGAGCTCAGGAGAGAGGATGCTCTTCCAATAAAGACCATGTCCCGTTGACCCCACCGTATGGCTAAGCTTCGCCCACGTATCGCCCCCCGATTGGGCCTTACCTAGATATCGAGGGCCCACAGGATAGACACCACACACTGAATCCAAACGCACAAAAGGAGAGAGAAAGAGAGTCTTTGTGTGTGAGTGACAAGAGTGAGTGCTTTTTAAACTTTACGAAAACTATTACATTGCAGCAGATTTCGGTCATGGCATCGAAGCTCTGCGACTCTTGCCAATCGGCGAAGGCGACTCTGTTCTGCCGCGCCGACTCCGCTTTCCTCTGCGTCAACTGCGACTCCAAGATCCACGCGGCCAACAAGCTCGCCTCCCGCCACCCCCGCGTCTGGCTCTGCGAGGTCTGCGAGCAAGCTCCAGTTCACGTCACCTGCAAGGCCGACGACGCCGCCCTCTGCGTCACCTGTGACCGCGACATCCACTCCGCCAACCCTCTCAGCCGCCGCCACGAGCGAGTCCCTGTCACGCCGTTTTACGATTCCGTGAACTCAGCTGCAGACTCGGTCCCCGCCGTCAAATCTGTCGTCAACTTCCTCGACAACCGCTACTTATCCGACGTGGACGGCGAGACGGAAGTGAGCAGGGAGGAGGCCGAGGCCGCCTCGTGGCTGCTCCCGAACCCCAAGGCGATGGAGAATCCAGATCTGAACTCGGGGCAGTACTTGTTCCAGGAGATGGATCCGTATCTGGATCTGGACTACGGGCATGTGGATCCGAAACTTGAAGAAGCTCAGGAGCAGAACAGCTGCGGCGCGGACGGCGTCGTTCCGGTGCGGAGCAAGAACATGCAGCCTCTGCTAGTTAACGACCAGAGCTTCGAACTCGACTTCTCCGCCGGCTCCAAGCCCTTCGTCTACGGCTACCACCACGCTCAGTGTCTGAGCCAGAGTGTAAGTCCTCTCAATTTTCTCCGTAACTAAACAGATCCTAAGAAAATTTTGCATTCAATCTCTGATCCTCTGCTTTGCGCCTCAGGTATCATCTTCGTCGATGGACATCAGCGTCGTGCCGGATAGCAACGCGGTGACGGACGCGTCGGATGCATACACCAAGTCACTGACCGCCGCTGTGGAGACATCGCAACTGGCGGTCCAGCTCTCGTCCGCGGATCGCGTGGCGAGGGTGCTGAGGTACAGAGAGAAGCGGAAGAACCGAAAGTTCGAGAAGACGATACGGTACGCTTCGAGAAAAGCGTACGCGGAGACTCGGCCGCGAATCAAAGGCAGGTTCGCGAAGCGCACGGAGGTGGAGATCGAAGCCGAGCGGATGTGCCGCTACGGCGTCGTTCCGTCGTTTTAGGTTAATAATGTAATTAACCGGTAATCAAGCTTTGTAATTTCGTTTTTGTTCCCGGGAAATCGGCTGTGGGTGTAAATATCGGTCGAGATCCGGTGTACCTGTACGATCCATGGAATCTTGGCCGTCGATTTTGTACAAGTTTTTCTTCTGCAGTAGTGAAATTTTAATTTGGTATTGGGCCGTATCAGAATCTGGATTGCTATTGGTTTTGGTGATTAGCATTAGGATTAATTTACTATATTAGGGAACCATTAAACTATTAATTTACTATATTAAGGAACCTTAACTTGCTAAAGCCCACATGCTTTACTTATTTTATTGTTAATTATTTCTTTTGTTCATAGTGATTTCTAGGGTCTTCCATTAAGGTCGGAGAGCAGGTGAACGATGTTTTCTGGGTCCCATTTGATTGAGCCGTGAGAGACTCACCTGCATATTCCACGTACTATGCGACGATATTTCAAATTAATAAGTATTATAAAAATAAAAATTGAAGTTATCGTATTATTGGTTTGAAATAATATAACAGTGTGTTGAAAAATGTATAAGCAAATGTCTAGGCTTTGATTTTTCTCGATCTTATCATCTCAAGTAAGGCGGAAGTTCCGCATGCATTCCTACAACGACCCAATTATGTAATTAAAGAGTTAAGGTTTCATCTTAAGGTTTCTCTTATTTCTCTGATATGGGTTTCATACTTTGAAGATTATATCCTGATCGTGTCTACTTTTTCTTGATCCCACCTAACGAGTCTTTGACCGACCAGTAATGTGATCCGCGTTCGGGCAAAAGAAACTTAAGCCTTGTTTGACACACCGTAAAGAACACCGGATAAGACTATTTTATACGAATCCGATGTTTGAGGCACTTTCGTATTAAATAGTCACCAGATAAATAAGCAGGACCCATATCTTTATTAGTATGCTCCACAGCGTACTAACAATCCACTCCAAAAGCCATGTATAATTAGTCGAGCTCAAAATAAACTAAACACCAATCCAAAACCAAACCTCTCGTCATCATCATCCTGCTCTTCGTGATGCCCGTTGCTGAATTAGTAGAACAATATTTCATACAACGAGAGTCTATAATCTATATATCTATTCAACAGGAGTACTGTGAGTATATATTATTCAACAGTGAGTCTATATATTTATTCAACTTATTTTATTAAAATGAAAAAAATACATTTCTGTACGGTCTACGGTTTTGTTGAGTTTTTGGTTTTTTTTTATTACCACTCACTAAATTGTAGACTGTTATATATAGAACACTGAAGAAAATTAATTCCTAATGATACCTGATTGTTCAAGGTATAAACATGCCCGCCTTGGTAAATTGGTAATGACACTGAACGAAATTGGGTATGATACAGCTAATTTCAACAGTGAACTCACTTTTTCATTCCTTGCATGTTAGATACGTCAAAAATGAAAAGATATAAATCATTTTGCATCAATTCCTAATAAGTAAACACGCCAATAGAGCTAAATTAAGAGAGTAGATGAGTTGGATAGAGAAGGAAATCAAATTGGTAATTTTAGTTTTATTTAGTCTTAACAGTCATTTCAACTCGAGGATAGAATAAGAGTTAGGAACTAAACGGGAGATTAACCGCATACATAAATTAGGCCTGTTTGCTTGAAAGCGTTTCCACCACATTTTTCTTCCTTTTGCACGCCCTTATTCATTCCTATCTTTTGAATTGAACGAATCAAACGAGAATCAAGAGTTTAAAGTAAATAGAGTGCGCCGAAGGAGAAAAACGGGGAGCGGATGTTACTTCCCGAAAAGAAGACCTAACATTTCAAACAGTTATATAACAAAAGAAACACTAGATTTACAGAAAACATAACGAGAAACACTTTACATACACATTGACATTTTTCTGCTACACTTACCAAGTTCTATGCTAGAGGCTGATGACATGTAATACATATTAACAGCCCGATAAGTTTCGATTTTGTCTCTCTATCCTTGTTACAGTACATTGCTACCACAGGTTTTTCTAAAACTATATCGAAATTTATTGCAACCCCGCCTACCAATCTGGAGCTCTGGTAGGAATCCAAGCACTTTGCGTCGCAAAAAGGTGGTTAGCCAGAATTGCTTCGTGAGGAACCCCCTTGGTTAGCCAGGAAACGCACCACAACGCACGTGATGTTATCTGCACTCCCCCTCTGATATGCTTCCTGCATTAGCCTCTCCGCTGCCTGCTTTGGGTCCTGAATTGGTTTGATCATTGCGACGGCCTCCTGGAAAAGAAAATGAATGATCAGTTGCCATACCAAGCCATCAAGACAGTTTACTAATTGTGACAAAACCGTATAATCCCAGGAAAGTAAGGAAGAGAATGCCACTGCCACCGCAGTTGGCAGTCCCACATCAGTGGGGCAGGTCAACAAGGGTGACTTTAAATATGATTACTGTACTCTAACTAATACTGAGGCATTTTGTACTAAAATCCCACACTTGACGGATTAAGCAAGTGGTAAAGTTGGGATGGTATCGGTGTTGTTAGTGCCCCCGGGCCCGTCGATCTAAGAAATTTCAACATGGTATTAGAGCCCACGATTATGGTACATGCAAGCCAAAGGCTTGTCACTAGGAAGCGTGAGCTTGGAAACAAGCTTGGACTAAGAGTCAGCCTCTGAGTTCTTAGGAGGCACTTCCTGAAAAGATTGAAAATAAGTCTGGACTCCATTGGAATTTGGAGCCAACGTCTGAGTTTCAATTGCCGATGTGTGGATCTCCATGTGTGAACCACTAAATGGGGTTACACGTGAGGGGGCGTGTTGGCAATCCCACATCGGTGGGGGAAGTCAACAAGGGTGGCTTTAAATATGATTACCCTACTCTAACTAATACCGATGCCTTTTGTGGTAAAACCCCACACCCCACACCTGACGGATTGGGTAGGTGGTGAAGTTGGGAACAGTATCGGTGTCGCTAGAGTGGGGACCCCCGGACCCGTCGATCTAAAAAATTTCAACAACCACATCGAGTAGTTAAGTAGTCAAATGCTGAACAATAATATTTTGGCTTTTGAAGGCATGCTGCCATTCACCTGCACTATCAAGTGCATGGACAAGAAGTACAGAACAGTAAATAAAAAGAAAAGTCAGGGGCAAACCTCATTGGTGACAACATCCCAGAGTCCATCACTTGCAAGGATAAGGAACTCAAGAGAGTTGTCAATCTTTTCCTCCTGCCAAAATAAAGCAAGTTAAACAGATATGCTGAAAAGCATCAGACAAGTATTATATACTAATAATATATACATACATATATATATATATATATATATGTATATATGGGTTACAATCTGGAGACACGCATTTGACACCCATTTTGTAGGGCCCACTTTATACTGTATTTTAATAATCCGATCCACCATATGTGTGTGCATCAATATATTGACTATTAAATATCAACACAAAGGACCAAACCTGGATTTCTGGATCAGCAACAACATACTGCTTCAACAGCCTATCACCAAATGCACGAGAAACAGCAAGAACACCTCCAACTCTCCAAGTTCCTATTGTTACAATCTCCGTTGTCAAGAACACATTCATATGCGATTTCATGAGAAATCTTAAAACAATGATAAACCTTACCAGCCCACATTACAAATCCTCCTGCATCCTCAATCCGTTGCCGCTCATCAGTCTGGTCTGGCTTGTGATCTCTTGAAGCAGCTATAGCTGCAGGATACAACAGAATAATATTAAAGACCATGAAACATGTTAACACCATAGAAATAGACCAATGATCCACAAAAATCTCTATAAGCATTAAGTAACAGAACCCTATATCCTTTTAGGTCGAACCATTTTCTTCCATACAGAGCTAAGATATTGGCGGTCAAAATTTCTCTCTCCATTCAGCGGTTATCCAATCTCACCAAACAATAGACACAGGACACAAAAGTCCCTTTACCCTGGAAATTGTAGTCTTTGGTACAATTATTATGCTAAAACACAATGGAAGTGGGGAAGTGCAAAGGCTTACCATTCCCACCCCTGCATATCACAGCTCTGGAATCCCCAACATTTGCAACAAGCAAACGGTCACCAACTAGGATCGCAGTAGAAGCAGTTGACCCAGCATCTCTATTCTGATTATTTTCTGATTTCAGAAATTCAGAGTCGGTATGGCTGTAAGCATCAGCTGCAGGAACAGGGAAATATTAGTTCTGAATACTGTTATTTACTTCCAAAATAGAAAATTGTAAAGCATTAATAAGTTTCGGGTTACTAGTAAGAAGACAAACCTATAGCAGATTTGGTGTCAGAGATAAATTTTGGATGACTGATCAAATTACTGAAAAGATTTTGCTTGACATACTCAGCAGCACGTGCACCTCCATGGCCTAATTCAATGAAAACGCAGCATTTCCATGTTACCTGTCTTCTTATTTCCAAAGGTATGCTATGCAAGTATATGATGATCAATCTTCGTGTTTTCAGAGGTATGCATATATATGATGATAGATGTATACACATATACTAAACCATATGAATATATATATCTTCTCTGTGTGAGAGTATGGTTATGGACAAATGTACTTACGAACTTCTAATCACCAACCAGCCATTGGCACATCAACCATGACCGACAAAATGACAGCAACAAGAAAATAATAGAAAGAATGATTACATAGACAGTCAAACCAGATGGAAACACAACCGAACTGCTGTTCCATGAGATAAGATTCAAGTCTGATTAGCAATTGAAAGTGAATTAAGTATCCCAAATTACAGCCCTAGAGGTTCATCTTGTCAGAGATCACCACGACAGTGTGGTAAAGAAGATATTCCACTGTCCAGCTAGAATAGCTCGAACCCCAAGACCAAACTGGCAAGTGGATCAAGGGTGAGATCTCAATTATGAGGCAAAGTAAAATCCAGTAAGCATTTGTAACTGACAAATGATCATACAACTACAATATTATTCAGTTATCAAATAATAAACCAAAGAAAACGAATGAAGATTATACCAAAAATAGAAGGATGGAAATTAACAGAGATCAAATACATATCCACAAACCCACATGCATCTGCCTAATTGTGTATACATCCCATCCTAAGCATGATATTATTTACACTTATCAATGTGTGTGCATGGGCATGCATGTGTGTGTAGAAAGAGTGAGAGAGAGATGTATATAC